GGGCATTTCATAATGATGAAGGGATCGACCTAACAAAAGGACAGAACTCTTGTAAATATCTACACAACCAATGTAGGAGCACCTATATATAAAAAGCAAATATTGATCAACAGAAAGGGAGAGATCAACAATTATACAGTCATGGTAGGTGACTTTAACAATCCATTAGCATGCTTTCACACTCTCCACATCAACATCAATGGACAGGTAATCCAGGCAGAAAATCAATAAGGAAACAGGGGCCTAAACTGACACAATAGATTAGAAAAACATAATTGATATTTTTAGGACATTTGACCAAAAACCCGTAAGTCTCAGTTCACAGTGCGGCCTCTCCCATGCGCCTCCAGGTCCAGCACAGGCAGCTACCAACCATGGATCACTTTGTAGCAACTCCCAGCTAATGCTGAGTTGGTCTCAGGCAAGGCTTGATCTTGGCGTATACTGAAGCCCCTCCCAAGAGGCCACAGAGCCAACCAATTCAGTGGCTAGCTTCAGACTACAACAGAGCACCCCCCAATTAGCTCAACAAACAGCACAACCAAAAAGTGGTCTTGGCAGGCAAAAGAGCCCATTGGAGTGCATTCCACTCTATGGATTCAGCCCCCCCGCCTCCCCACAGTAGCTTGAACACTTTGGTCATGACCAATACTCACAGCCTGAGGGTCACCCCAGCTACTGATGTGCCAACAACAGTGAAGTACAACTACGACAGGAGGGCACACACAACCCACACAAAGGACAATCCTGGAGCACCCAGCTCAAGTGCCCAGGGAGACAGAGCCACTGGGCTCCCCGGACATGTACGACATAAGGCCACCTGCCAACTTGGGAGACATAGTAGCTCTAACTAATGCCTCAAAACAAACCGAGAGGAAATCAAGATGAGGACACAAAGAACCATGTACAAAATGAGAGAACAAGAGAAATCCCCAGAATAAGAACTAAATGAAATGGAGGCCAGCAATGTATTAGATATAAAGTTTAAAATAGTGATCAAAGAACTTTGTGAGAACTTCAGCAAAGAAATAATAGTAAGCATAAAAAGGGACACAGAAACCATAAAAATGAACCAGTCAGAAATGAATACAATAACCAAAATGAAGAATACCCTAACAGCAGATTAGATGAAGCGCAGGATCAAGTCAGTGCTTTGAAAGACAAGGTAGCAGAAAACACCCAATTGAAACAGCAAAATCAAAAAAGGAAAAAATAGGATAGTTTGAGAAACCTCTGGTATAACAGCAAGTATAACAACACTCACTTCATAGGGGCACAGAAGAAGAGAGTCAGCAAGGAATAGAAAACCTATTGAAATAATAATGACAAAAAATTTTCCTCACCTGGAAAATAAAATAGACACACAAATCCATGGAGCACATAGAGTCCCAAACAAGATGAACTCAAAAGAAGCCCACACCAAGACACAGCATAATTAAAATGGCAAAGATGAAAAACAAAGAGAGAACCTTAAAAGCATCAAGAGAAAGGCCGTCAGTAATCTACAAGGGAAGCTTCCATAGACTGTTAGCTCATTTCTCAAGAGAAACTTTTCAGGCCAGAGGAATTGACCAAAATATTCAAAGTGATGAAAAGCAAGGACCTACAACCAAGATTTCTCTAGCTAAGAAGGCTACTAGTTAAAATTGAAGGAGCAATAAAGAGCTTCCCAGACAAGAAAAATCTAAAGGAGTTCAGCACCAGCAAGCAGTTTTACAAGAAATGTTAAAGAGACATTTTAAAGAAGATGGGAAAAAATAAACATGAATAATAAAATGGAATTACTTATTTAAAATATAACTGCATTAAATAACACTTATAAAAAATTATAATACTTAGAACATAAAAAGAATGTACAAATTTGTATGATAATGATAGCACACAAAAAAGGAAGGACTAAATTGGAGTTCTATTGGAGCAATATTTCACTATTTTGTTGGATTTCAGTTAGTATTAATGTGAAGTATCCTATATAATAAAAGAGAAACATGTAAATTGATCGGTCCCTCTGCTACACTCACCAGTCAATCAGGAGTGTGTATGCAAATTAACCCAACAAAGATGGCGAGTTAATTTGCATACACAGGGGCCCGGCGGAGAATGGAGCAGCTTGGGGAACTCTGCTTTCCAAGCCGCCAGACGGAGAGCAGAGAGGGAGAGCTGATGGCTTGGAGACTTGGCAGAGTGGGAGGCCATGGGTCAGGGACAGAGCAGGAAGGGAAAACCAAGAGCGCAGGGAGCACCAGGAATGCTGGGAATCGTAGTTCTGGTGGCACACAGATCTCTAGACACTAGAGCAGCGGTTCTAACTTGTGGGTTGTGACCCCTTTGGGGTTGAACGACTCTTTCACAGGGGTCACCTAAGACCATCGGAAAA